CCAGACAATCAATCACATGCCTCAATTCAATTCTCAATGTCGTCATTTTCAGTTTCATTTAATGCTACTCTCGTTGTCCTAAATATTTATGAGAGCGTAAACAGAAGCCCAAGTCCTTCCTCCTCTCTCAGTCGTTCTGCTGCTTGCATCTCTAATGAGGCGTAATTAAAAAACATTAAATTTGTTCGCAAATATATGTTGGAGTTTGTGTGCAAAGCATTTATTGATTTCAATCAATCAAGCGTACATTTATGGACTCTATTGTATGGCATTCAATGAACTTAAATAACAAACTTAAGTTTCAATTTGAAGGCTTATGGGACGCCTCAGTTTGTTCCCAGTTTGTAGTCACTGATTGTTGCTTAAACTTTTTCCCAGCTCACTTGTTTATTGGATCAGACCACATTGCAAAAAAGCTTTTGTGCGCTTTTTGATTTATAGATAGTGGATCAAGTCCGCCCACCCTTTGGAAAATCCATCCCATTGTGGTAGATAAATTGTGTAGAGCAGCAAGCTGCGGATTAAAATGTATATCATCTTTAAAAATTAGCAATTGTTTCCAGCGAATATAAGAAAAATCGGTATCCCTTTAGATATATGCTAATGTACAAGTACATGTGAGTTGTCAGTAAAATAATTCTTTAATTAAAATGAGCTATCTACCAGCATAACATTAAATATATATAAATTTATCATATTAAGAAACTACAGAGATATCTAGCAATAGTTTCAAGATGAAATACAAATCAGTTGAATCTCTTACATTATAAGTAACATAAATATTATTGTTCAAGACTCTGACGGGTCAGCAGTCTCTATCAAGTCGCCAGTAAATTAAATAATTGAAATTAGCATTAGAAATTAACATATATACAAAGCAGAGTTCGTACAAAAAAGAAGCCACCTTGAAAGGGTATCAGATTCGCAGAGCATTTCTTTCAAAGGCGCATTTGCTGCATACTTTTAGGCGCGCGCTTTACCTTGTTTGCAGTCAAACGCGCTGACCAACAGCATCAGCAACAGCAATAGCCGCAGAGGCCACCCAGGGGGGAGGAGCGGCCGCACAATTTGCTCGGCGCTTTGTATCTTTAGCAGTGTCTGGTTTGCAGTATTTGAATGTTTGCTGTGTTGCAGTTGCTGCAGTGTTTTGTGTTGGACAAAAACTTTATGCACTGATTGCAAACTTGTTTCAATTGTTTCGTAACCGACTGAGGAGCGCAACAAAGGGCTGTGCTGGGCTAGCTTGGGTTGTCTAAAAACCATGCCATGAAAGTCAAGGCAAAGCGTGTGCACAAATGGCCAAAGCCGAGGCTAAGGCTGAGCGGCAGAAGCCATTCACTTGCATATTTCTGTGGCTTAGTTTCCGTTTTCAAACCAAACGAACAGCATAAAAACCTATTGAAAATTTGCATACGAAAATGAAATTCAAATGGGTTTCGGTTCCGTACATTCCACTCTCGCAAACTCTATTTCTCTTTACCTCACTCTCGGTTCTCTGTTCTCTGTTCTCTAGTCTCTGTCCTTAGTCCTTAGTCCATAGTCGTACGAGCTGCACAGGCAATCAGAGTGGCTGGCAAACTTTCGATTTTTTTGCGAGTAACTGCAATCTAACTTTAATACACTATTAACCATAGATATTTATAGCAGACATAACAACAAATATCAGCGAGTTTCCTTTCAAGTGAGTGAGCGCTTTTAATCTCAAACATTTTGATTTAACCGCAACGCTGCACCTGAAAGCCTGCCAAAGTGATTTTTTATTGGGCGGCTCGTAACTTTGTAATGCAAATCTGTTGGCCCCTTTTCCTGAATCTGATCTGGAACTGAGGCTGAATCTGTTTGCCTGTCTTTCTTTCTGTCTTGATGTCCATGTTTCTGTCTTTCATTGATTTTACTTTTACTTTTGCCTTTGACTTCTTACTTTCCTACCCCGTATTACTCTGTCTTTAGTGAGCCCAATAAAATGCAAATTGTTTTTCGCGTAAACAAAGCGATTTTAATAAAGCTCAAATCTGGAGATGTTTACGTGACTGAAAAATACGTTTGGGTGAAATCAAATGCTTAGGAATTAATATTACAAACATATCCATATATGCTTTATTCATATGTATTGGTTTTATACTGCTTGCACTAAGTACAAGGATAAAGTGGAATGCACTTGAAAAAACTATTTTTAATTAATTAGTTTATTTAAAAGCATGTTGCATAAGCTGCTTAAAAAAAAGCATTGACTGAACTTATATCATTGACTGTATTCTTAGTGTGTAAGTACACAAAAGTATGTTACCCAATTAGGATTCCTATTACGACCCTTTATGTCCGTGACGATTATGTTCTATCGCTTTCATCACTATTTCGCAATCATCGCCCCTTTTATGACTTTCATTTGTTGGTAAGCTGTTGAGTTTTGATAGCTTTTAATTGTCTTAAAAAACCCAATCAGAAGGCACTTCTATGCTGCCATCTCTCGTGCTGCTCTTCTCACCGAATTCGAAAAGTCAGGATAATAGTTTCGCATTCCACTTTGTGCTCACTGCTGACCCACTTATCGGTCACTTCGGGCACTATTTCCGCTAGCCTTGTAGCCACTTGACTAAACAGCACTCAAAATTTATTTTGATTTATGCTGCCCACAAGTACGGGAAATATCTCGAATCGGAATCCAAGTCAAAGCCCAAGCCCAAGCCCGAGCCGGAGCCCCAATCTCAACCCTGACCCCAACACCACCTCCAAATGTATCTTATAACTTTGGCATCTATCTACCGCTTTCATATTTACATGCTGCTTACACGCGCATTGGCGTGTAACGGAAATTGAGTTGAATTGAGCTCTCATGAAAGGGTTGGCCAAATGGACGTTGGCCGGGACAATACATTGCTCTTGGCGTGGCCTATTCTGCTTGGTCCTAGTCGAACAATCGAATGGGAGCAACTTTTTTTTGTTATTTTGTTTTGTGAAGCCAGCTTTAGATTCCCTCACTCCTCTCAATAGAAAAACATAACTTTCGAAATCCTTGCTTATCTTTTCATCTCCCTTCTCTCATTGTATGCATGTAGCTATTGTTTTTGTACTCGATGTAAAATGTTAAACTAGCTATTAAAAATAAGAGCTTCATTTTCCTTCGACAACCATGATTTGCTTAGCTGCATTACCGCTAACATTAAGTTCAACTATGAACTAAGGGTGATTGAGTAGTTTGATATATTCTAAATTGATAACAGTTTTTCCCAGTAATGCAGCAAACTGATCTAATCATAAGATAATAAGACTCTCAGTCTTAAACTATTTCTTAAAAAAGACTCGTATACTTATAAAGAAATGTGTGTACATCTTTTAAAATAAGTTAACGGAAAAGTTTTGCGTAAATTGGAGCACGCTTTTAATTAAAGTTAAGGCAATAAAATATGAGGAATAAAATAAAATAAATAAGAAGTACTATGATTAGTGTAGTCAGTTACGCAGTAAGTTGGCTTCAACTCAACAGTCTTACATTTTGCATTAGTCATCCTAAATTACTAGTTATTATTTTCAGCATACTGCGCTTATCGGTCTAATTTCTTACTGATTGTAAACTTTTAAAGCACACCTCTTTATCACTCTTTACCACTTTACCACTTGTGCAAATATTTTATACGTTGCTATTCTACGTTTCAGTGTTGTCATAATATGGTGGTTTGTTGTTGTCTACACCCCAGCTTTCTCACCTCATATTCCCCAGCAAAACCTACACACATATATATATATATACATATATATACTTGTACCTGGTAGTTACTCCTGTTGTGGGACGCGTCTGCATTTTTATTGCTTAATGTCTAGGCACAGGTACATTTTCCAGCGTTTTCCAGCCCATGGGTAAGTCTCAGCCACTCGTCGACTTTCAGGCTTTTATGTGCCCTTTTCGGCCTTTCCTTTCGCATTCGCATTTGCATTCGCTTTGCTTTTATTTCATGCAACACAAAGAAGTATTTTATTTACATGCATGCATACAATGTTATTGTTGCTTCGCTTGCTGGTTTCTATAAGGATATTAAATGTTAGCTCGATATTCGTTGCGCCTCCCTTTCATGCGATATGTTAATGTGATGCTTGTGAAACTTATTGGAAATCAAAGTAATCATACGGCACATTGGTTCAGCAGTAAAAGCTATCGGTTATGTGAACCATTTGACTGAACTGTAAAAAATATTGTTTCCGAAGTGATCAAATTTGAATTTCTGAAGGAGTAATTTTTAATAAATCGATTTTACACGATTGGCAAGCTCATTTATAAAAGTTATTAAGAAGGTAAAGATTAAATATAATAATATAATAATAATATATCTACTAACTGCAAAGTGTAAAATTTATTCTGAGTGTAACCGGTGCATCGACCGGCCATGAATACGCACTCAGGCGTCATCAAATCCAGACTGATTGCAATGCATTAGGTTTCACATTTTTGGCACTCGATCTTTCCGCCCCCTGCACCGTTCCCCCGTCCCCGCCTAGTTGCTTATCATCAGACAAATCGCTTTGATTGATGCCCTCGGTCCAGTGCATTTGAGCTGCATCTGCAGTTAGTCACTGGCACTGCAATGCCGGCGGTTCGGTAATTGCTTTTGGGGCACACACCTTAAAGCTAGCCCGGATTCTTCTTCTCGAGCTCGAGTTCGAGTTCGAGTCCGAGTCCGTTTCCGTTCCGTTTTATGTTCAACAATACGCATGCAATTACCGCAATTGGGAGCTTGGAAAAAGTTCAACACCCCCGGGGCCTGACAAAAGTTGTCATAGCTTCTGGGCCCAGGCGCAAACTTTCAGCTCTAATTGCCCAAGTGGTTTTCGAGTGGCATCACCGTCGCCAAGACGCTGCGTAATAGAGCTTCCTCTTCTCAAATTTCAATTCTCCATGCTTTTTCTGCACAGCAGTCAAAGTTTTGTGGCATGTTCTCCCCCAAAAACTTGCTCGCCCAAAATGTACAATCAAAGCTGACCGTTGGCGTTATTAACACAAATGAAAATTGTGGTCATGCACAAGCATGGAGTTATTTATATATCAATTTATTAGACGGTAAACTTTTTGACTGCCTGCTCATCCAGTCACTGCCCGACAGTCGCTTGGCCTAATGAAGTTTTGGATTGCAGCTGTAAAATGCACATATGTTAACACATGTCTCCCAAAATACTCGTTTGCATGCACATTTCTTCAAAATCTCTCTCTGGCACATATGCTAAAGTGCACGTTCCCTTCCAAAGGACACTCACATACGCAGGCACACACACACAGCGACAGAGAGCTCAGCATATTTACACATTGTGGTCCCCAATTACCATCCCATGACACAGGTTTTGGCTTTTCACGCCCAACATTTAACTTTAGTTGTTTTGGGTAATAACTTTACTTGCGGAATGCGCGAGATTTAAGGACATTTGAATTGTACCAAAATGCACAGCTTTTTCATAAATGACCAATACATAAACGTACAAGCATATATTATAAAAATGTGATACAATTTTTAAACGTATGATTATAAAATAAGGCAAACATGTGACTAAAAAAACTAACTGACAAACATACAAAACAAACATTTAGTTTTATTAGCAGTGAATTGAGAAGAATTAAATACATAGCTTTGGACTTAAGAATAGAGCTGAGAAAATAAACTCCACGACTATAAAATGTGTTACTCATAGAAAACTTTGTATGCTTTATTTTCAATGTATGTGCATATGTTTTACGCAGTAGTGTTAAATTCAAGATAAAAGAATATAAGAAATATTGCGAATTGCTTAAAGCAAAATACATCTCAATGTCTGCGGTTGTCATTAAAAAAAAAAATGTTATACAGCTCTGGCATTTCTAAATGCACATCCACGTTCCACGGCACTTTGTAGCAACCATGGAATCACCCGAACACTGTCGAGTCTGTTTAATTGAATTTTCTCAGACTCCAAGGAACAAATATAAAATTTGTGTGGGAGCGCAGCTTAAGTAAGTGCGATAGTGTGCAGACAATTCAGAGTTGAGTAGACAGCGTATCTTAGTCGAAAAATGGTGCAACACTTCTGCAACAGCTTGCATATCTAATTTGGTTTCAATTAAATTTTATAGATACATAAAGTCTGTAACTATTTGCAGATATTGTCTAGCGGTATTTACTTACATCACCTTTGCAACTTATAACTTAGTTTGTTGCTTTGCTGCGCTGCTTTATCAATTTGCCAATGAAATTAATTATTGTCAATGTTGGCAAATTTTGACGCCATGTGATTGTTCCAATTTCGTGGCAAATCAAAATTCCATTAAACTTTTCGGTGCGCCCGCATAATTTTGCAACATTTTGTGGCTGAACTTTACTTTTGCCACTTTTTACAGTGCTGTTCTGTGGCTTTTAATTAAAATTTGTTTGTTAGCACAGAGCCAGCAACGTTTCGCTGCCATTTGCCATTGTTGATTGTTGTTGTCTTGCGGAGGCAAGCGCAAATATGTCTGGCCGTATAATTAGGAGCGCACATCCGAGACGAAATTACATCGCGTATACGCAGCGTGTGCCTTTTAATAATGCCGAAAACATTTTTACAGACAGCAGCACAGAAATCACAAAATGCGGTGAAAAGGAGCGCGACAGAGAAAAGTGTGTGTGGCTCATTGAAAAAATACATTTTAATAGCATAATTTTTGTCGCTGCGGTTGCGACAGCTCTTAAATCAGAAGACTGTTGGTTTTCCCATGATGTGTTTCCTGCGGTTGTCATGGTTGTCTTGGATTGTATTCTCTACTCAACTGAACTCAGCACAACTCGAGTCGTGGCCTCATTATTGGCTAGCTATCACATGGCGTCAATCTGGGCTAAGATGGCACGTTTTTGTTCCTACTCCGATGACATCAAACACTATTCAAACGAAATTTGTTTTTGATAAGACAATTTGCATGCCAAAATCAACGCCTTATGTTTAATAAAAGAAATTGATTTTCGTTTTGTTGTGCGTTGTTGTTCCAGACGTTGCTTACAGCTAAATTAAATTAAAAATTCAATGACAGCACATTAACAGCGTCTCGTCAGATTGGATTTCATCGCCGGCGTCTGACAGGCGATTGAACAAATTTGGTATACAAAATAATTGTGCTGTGTCTGTTGCTTGGCTTAGATTTTCTTTTATTGATTTTCCTTCTCAAAGAAGGTGTCAAGAGGCACGCAAGCTGTTAAAATTTCTTAAGGTCTGCAGTCTACTAAATGAATGTTTGATCTAAGCACACAGACATGCCCAATATCTATTGATATTTTATTAGTTTCAATCCATGAATTACAAGACTTTTTGAGCAATTCAATTTTCCGGTTACCTTCCTAACATGTTGACCAATTTTGTTATAATAGAAAATCTTGAACTTCTTTATGAATAGAGCTTTGAAAGTAAGATTGCAGACAATCGCTTGATATTTAAAAAAGTACAAGCATTTTCTTTTATTTTCCTATATACAAATTTCCAAGCAGCAAGTAAGATTTTTCACAATAAAGTGAAGCGTTCTTCTGAAATTTCCATTTTTAACATTCAAATCTGCTAAAACTGAAAATTAAAAAGTTACTTTTTGCCAAACTTTTCCGCCAGTTTTCTGAGTTTACAGCATTTGAAAATTACTCACTCTTTACTTTTTTATGTAGAGCTTTAAAAATACGCTTAAAGCTGATCTGACAAGAACCAACAACATTTTCATACTACGGTTTTCCGGCCATTCTTATACATGTATAATTTAAAAAAAATGCCTTTGAATCCAATTGCATTTAAATTGAATTTTCGTTCAGATAACTTTAGCAAACATTTTTTTACTCATGGTGAAAAATTTTCCAACAAAAAATATAAGTTTTATTTAACGAACTTTGACGTTGATCTGAAAATTAGTTTGAAGCTGACGGAAGAAGAACTAAAAAAATAGCATATAAAAGTTTTCCGCCAATTTGCCGATCCTTTTATTTTTTGAAATGAGCTGAAAAACTACTTTCACATAGAATAACCTTGACCCACTATTTTCCATCAAAGCCAAAGGGAAGCTCAGTCCAAATTTGAGATTCATAGTTTGCGATGCACCCAGTAAATATCTAAGCACTTTTCCGCCATGGCGTTAATTATATTCTTAATAGACTTCCAGTTATTTTTTCTTGTGCGAAGTAGACTCAGTGGTTTAAGTGTTTACAGATTAATTGCGCAGGCTAAATTGAATGCATAACATTTAATTTTGACCGACTTGCCGCAGGTGATAATATCCAATTGCCCTAATTGTTGGGGCTTTTAATGAATTGTACATTTTAATCAGGTTTTTCGTGTTTTTGATGAATTGCGAATTTGAAGATAAATGTTATTAATGGAGGCAGGCAAGTACAGAATATGTTTAGAATCAAATTGAAAAGGTGTGTAATTTTTATAAAATAATGATTGTTGCAAATCCAGCAAGACATCCAGCGAACTATCGGAAATATATGAATGTAGATCGGGAATGCAAAGGAAAATCATTGGCAAGTCAACATGGGGCAGACATGGGACAGCAGACAAACGCAGAGAAGACAAACACACAAATGGCTTCCAGATCGATAAACTTAGCACGGAGCACACAATTTGTGTGTTGAAACTGCCACGCCCCCTTTCGGATGCTTAGCATAGACAATAAATTCGAACAAAAGGCAACACATTCGTCGTGTGGCAACAAAAGAAGCAAATGCGGAGACGGAGACGGAGAGCGAAAGAGAAGAGAGATAGAGTGAGAGCGAGAGCGAGAGGAATAGAGGGAAACAAACTGAAAACTGAAACCAAATACCCAAACACAAAATGGCAGCTCTTTGGCTGCGATTTATATTTGAAATGCCTTTGAGTGGCCACTGAAGCGGCAAATGCTTTTGCGGTGTGGTTTTCAATGGGGCGGTAGCCTTAAAAAATATATTGCAACAAAATTTATTCATCGACGGCAGTTGCAACTTATTTTTATGCTTGTTAATTGCCACCCCAACCATATTTGCCCTCACCAGCTATCCCCCTGTCATTTTGCATACACAACTGTCAACTTTTGCCATTTTGCCAAACTTCACACCCAGCTGGTAGTCAGATCCCAGGATCCCCAGCTGCCTGTGCCCCTAACTCCTCTCTGCCTCTTGCGCATAGCATGTGGGCACCATAAATATTTTCCAGTCCATTGATTTTTGGTCGCTGCCGTCGATGTTGATGATGTCCGACGGACAGAATAGTAGCAGAAGCCGCATCGGATGTTTTTTTGGCTCGTAACTGTTCCACAATACAGATTCTTAAATATTTCACGTTAGTATACATTAAAAAATATATATTGTAAATTGCAAGTGTAGCACTTAAATTTTAAATTAACCCTTGAAAGAGTTTCGGAAAATATGAGCAACTTTTGGACAGATATTTAAGCAACTAACGATTACAGTTTTTAAAAGCCATTCTGAGGAAACTAACTTGAAACAATATCAAAACAAACTTAAAGCAAGAAGCATGTTGATTTTATTTTATTTCCTTATTTTAATTGTATTTGTTTATGCACATTTTCTAATCTATTAGCGATGCACCTAGATTTTATTAAATTAAATACTGTCGAAATTTGGGTGAAATCGATATTAAAATCATTTGCGGCGGTAACTAAATTTACAGTTTGTTGTCGTTTTTGTTGCCTGTTACGCATAAGCTAACTTTACCCCCCAAAAACAACTCAGCCCCCTTCCCCGCCAGACCCACCTCAAACAACCCACCACACTTAACGGTTTGCTCTTTGGCAATGTTTTGTTTTGTTTTCAGCGACACTTGATTGCTTTTATGTGTGTATGTGTTGTTTTTGTTTTTGTTGTTGTTGTGACTGTTGTTCTTGTTGCTGCTGTGCGTCAGTCAGGCAGACGCTGAAAAGTATGCTACGCGCCAAATAGACTCAAATTATGTTGTCGTCGGGAGGACAAGAGGGAAACCTGCCAAAGAGTATGAGCAGACGGGAAAGAGTGTTCATATGTCTCTGTGTCTGTGTGTGTGTATGTGAATATGTATGTCCATACGCATGTGTATGTGTATGTGTGTGTGTATGTGTATGTCCATACACATGTGTATGTATATCGGTATGTGTATGTGAGGTGTTTGCCCAACGCTTTTTATGCCTGCCAACAATTTTATGTGCGTCGCTCATAAATATTTTTGCTCGAGTTAATTGAAACATTACCAAAAAATGCTGGTTGGCAAATATTGAAATATTTTTGGGTTGGGTCCGCACACACTAATGGGGCTATATACATGATGTGTTTGTTGCATAAAACGATTTCTTGTAACGATTTATTGGCACTGGTTGTTTGTTTTGAATATATATGGATAGATTAAATTACAGTACAGAGTCGATTTTGTACATTATGATTAGAGCTGGTCATATTGAATTCAAAACATTGCAA